GATCTGCAAAAAAGTATGGTGTATTTCGGATTAGTGGGCATGGGATCTCAACGGAGGAGCTACAACAAGCATTCACAGAGGCAGAATTCTGCTTTGGATTGTTGGCTGACCGGTGGAGTCGCGATGGAGATCGGGAGGAATTTCAATGGTCTCGATCCGCCATTGTTGCTGCCGAACGTAGGCGAGACGTTGCGCGAGAGGAGAGATTTCGCAAGTTTAGGTAACATTTTGTTTGTATTTTTGTATAATTTCAATATTTCATTTTTCATAGGCATAGTTTATATAAATATTTTGGTGCTAATCAATAATCACAAAAAATAATAATATTAGAGGATAAGTATATAATTCAAATGGCAATCTTTTCATTAAGAAAAAAAAAAAAAAAACGTATTTTCTAAAATGGATTTCATGAAAATGTTTTGGTTGTGAAATATGTGTTGTGGACTATAAGATCGACAACAAGTGCACCACACACACAAAGAATGAATAGCCATAGGGTTGAATGATTGATTAAGAAACAGGTAGCTGTTTGAGATGCTACAATCTCCCAAGAACAATTCTAGTCTTTTCCTGCCTCTACCATTGACTAACCTGCTATATAAATATAAATGAGCATAAACATTAATTCCCAAATTACCCTTCTACTATTCTATTGGCTAACATCATTAGTGGAATCCTTCCCAATGGTTGGTTGCTTCCCATTATCTTGTGGCCCCTTCTTATTTCTCCTGTGATAGGAGAACTGAAGTGGTGAGAGTGTAACATTACTCCTACCCAAAAGACTGATCTTGTCCTCAAGATCGAATTCTGAGAATATTCCTTGTATGTTCTCAAAGTCTTCCCACGTAGAGTCAAATGTCAGGCTGTCCTTCCATTTGATAAGTGCCTCCATCTGCTGCCCTTGTTCTTTGTGCCCTTGACGAACCCTTAACACAACTTCTGGTACTAGTTTTAACTCGAGGTTGTCTGTCATTTGTGGGGGAAGTTCAGGTTGCACTGCTCTATCTCTGACCACTTTTTTTAGTTGAGAGACATGGAAGACAAGGTGAACCTTTTCCCCTTCTGGAAGATCCAATTTATAAGCAACATCACCAATTCTTTGCAGGATTAGGAACAATCCATAGTAGTGGGCAACCAGCTTCTGCCAAGTTCTCCGTGCCACCGAATTCTGTCGATAAGGTTGTAGTTTGAGATAGGATCTCTGTCCCACTTTGAAGCTGAGTCCCTTACACTTCCGATCCGCTTGAACCTTCATCTTCGGTTGCACGTAAATGAGATGGCCTCTCAAATCATCCAATAAGCTATCTCGTTCAATGAGTTGTTCCTTGAGGGATGAGACCCCCATAATCCCACGAGGTATTCGAGTAATCTGTGGTGGATCTCTCTCGCAGATTATCTTGAATGGGGAGAAGTGGGTTGATGTGTGATAAGCGGTTTTGTAATAGAATTCAGCCCATGGGAGCCACCGTGCCCACTCTCTTGGTTTTCCTTGAACAAAACGACGAAGATATAGTTCTAGGGACTTATTGATGATCTTCGATTGACCGTCCGTTTGGGGGTGGTACGTGGTGCTTCGAAGAAGATTGGTTCCTTGCACACGAAACAACTCCCTCCAAAAATGCACATAAAAATCTTGTCCCTGTCAGAAATCACTGATAATGGGAACCCATGGAGCCGGACCACTTCCTTGATGAACACGTTTGCTACCGTCATAGCCGTGAAAGGGTGCTTGAGAGTCATGAAATGGGCATACTTTGAGAGTCAATCCACCACCACGAGTATCGTATCTGTCCCCTGTGATAGTGGAAGCCCTTTAATGAAGTACATGGATACATCATCCTAAATTAAGGTCGGAATGGGCAGGGGTTGGAGAAGGCCTGCCGGGTGGGTGGTAAGAGCTTTTTATCGTTGACACACGTCACATCCTTGCACATATTTTTGGATTGATTTTCTCATTCCCACCCAATACCATTCCTCAACTATCGTTAGATAAGTTTTGAACTCTCCCGCATGTCCCCCGATAGCTGAATCGTGGAATTCTACCAGCAACCTGGGAATGAGCGACGAAGATTTCGGTATCACCAATCTTCCCTTATACCTCACCTTGCTTCATTCCACTATGAATCCCACATGTCTTTTTCCTAGTTGAGTGATATCTTCCTTAATCTGCTGCAGGAAGGTATTAGCTGCGATCTCTTTTTCCAGTTCGCCTAAGGGTATCGACCAGGATGAGACCATCGTTTGTAGTTTTGTATCTTCGTGTCGAAACGAAAACTCCCTGGAAATAGCATCAGCCGCACGATTAGTAACACTTGGTTTATATTGTATTTCAAAATCATAGCCCAAAATCTTGTACAACCACTTCTGGTATTCCGGTCCGATTCCCTTTGGTACATAAGGAGCTTGAGGCTCTTTTGATCGGTTCTAATGATGAAGTGAGTTCCCAGTAAATAGTGTCTCCACTTCTTAACTTCCAAAAAAATGGCTATTAGCTCCTTTTCATAAATAGGTTTTGGTCGGTTTCGCGTTCCCAGCACCTGGCTATAGAACACGATTGGGTGCCCATCTTGTGTAAGCATGGCTCCCAAGCCTGCCCTTGATGCATCGGCTTCCACTACGAAAGGTCGTTGGAAATTTGGCATGGCAAGAATCGGGGCTTGTTTAAGAGCTAACTTCAAGGTTTGGATGGCCTCCTCCGCTTCTTCTGACCAACCAAAACAGTCTTTCTTAAGCTGATCCGTGAGAGGGGTAGCGAGCTTGGCGTATCCCGCCACAAACTTCCTATAGTACCCGGATAACCCAAGGAACCCCCTAAGTTCCTTCAATGTAGATGAGGTGGGCCACTGATCGATGGCTTGCACCTTCTCCTCATCCATAGCCACCCCTTCAACTGATATGACATGCCCTAAATACACCACCCGAGTTTTTCCTAGTTCACATTTTCCAGGTTTTGCATACAACTGATGAGTGTATAGGACTTCCATAACCAACTCCAAGTGTTGGAGATGTTGGGTTTCGTTTGGGCTTTACACGAGGATATCATCAAAAAATATCGGCACAAACTTTCTAATATATGGTCGGAACACCTCATTCATTAATGATTGGAAGGTGACGGGAGCGTTAGTAAGCCCGAAGGGCATTACTAAAAATTCGTAGTGGCATTCATGGGTTCGAAAAGCCGTCTTGGGAATGTCTTCTTCCCGCATACGTATTTGGCGATACCCGGACTTGAGATCTAACTTGGAAAAGATTGTGGATCCGTGAAGCTCGTCCAATAGCTCATCGATTATCGGAATCAGAAACTTGTCCTTAACAGTGATCTTGTTGAGGTTGCGGTAGTCCACGCAAAACCTCTAAGACCCATATTTCTTTTTAACCAAAAGAACGGGACTAGAAAATGGGCTTCGTGAAATTTGGATGATACCGGCTTGTAACATTTCGTTCAACAACCTTTCAATTTCCGCCTTCTGGGAATGAGAATAACGATAGGGTCTGACAGATACATGATCTGTTCCTTCCTTGAGCCTGATGATGTGTTGTTGATCCCTTTTGGGAGGTAGCCCAAGCTTCCATTCGAACACCCTAGAGTACCTACTAAGAAAGTTCCTGAGATATCCGGGTGCTGGAGGCAAAGGTTGGGGGTCCAGGTTCTGCCTCACATGATTAAGTTGGATCAAGTATCCCCACCCGTGGAACGCAACATACGGATCACGGTTTTCAGCGAGACTTGAGCTCGTTCTAAGGTCGGATCCCCCCTTAGTGTTACAGTGTGACCATTCAATTGAAACTTCATCACCTGTGTCTTCCAATTGGTGGTCACTGTCCCTAATTTCTCAAACCATTGAATTCCCAATATGATATCAGCACTTCTGAGGGTCAATGGTAGGAACTCTTCTACGATATTAACATCTTGCAATTGTAAACTTACCCCTTGACATTTCCCTGTTGCCTTCCCTGATTCTCCTGTTCCCAAGGATACCCCAAAACCCAGAGTGGAAGTGACCGGAAGTTGTAATTCTGAAACAATTTTGAGGGATATAAAATTGTGAATGGCTCCGGGGTCGATCATCACCACCACCTTGTACCCCTTTAGTTCTCCTTTCAATTTCAGCGTTTTTGGGTTCAAAGTGCCCATGATCGAGCTCAAGCATATCCCCGATAAAGTGGTTTTGTTGGTCTCCGGTGATGGCTCACCAAGGGGCTTGTCCAATTCCCCGTCGCTTTCCTCTCCTTCTTGGGTTAGGAGCATGCTGAGCTCCTTGCGCCTACAACGGTACCCCACATGCCACTTTTCGTCACATCTGAAACACAATCCCTTCTCTCTTTTCTGTTGCCATTATTTATCTGATAACCTTCTGATCTCTCCTTCAGGTTTCGTGGGTAGCTTGTTGCTTTTGGTGTAATTAGGGTTCTGGATCTGGGGCGCACAAGGAGTGAAGTAAGTAGTTTTGATGGGTGTAATCAGAGGTGTTCCTGATATGCTTCCGGTGGAGTTCGTTCATTGATTGATAGTGGAAGGTTGTGGTTTTCGTTGGAGTTGGGATTGTAGCTTTTGTTCAACCTTGATAGCCAGTGTCATGGCGTGTTCAATGGACATGGGGCTCAATAGTTGGACCTCAGACCTGATTTCATCATTTAGCCCGTTGAGGAATTGGCCCAAAGTGATGTCATCAGGTATATTGCTTAATGGGGCAAGTAATTCATTAAATGATCGCCGACCCAGTCTGAGTTAGGGCGAGCCATTGCTGGTGTAATGTACATGCGTTAGTAGGGCGAAATTATTGCAATAGCAGCGATTTCATCTCCTTCCATTGTGTCATTGGTCGATGAGAGTGCTACCATTGGAACCACATCAGAGCGTCACCCTCTAGGGCTACCACCGCCTCCTCCAGTTTATCATTGTCTGAGAGTTTGTAAAAATTAAAGTAACGTTCAGCCCTCAGGATCCATCCATCTGGATTTTTGCCATCAAATAAGGGCATATCCAACTTTCTAAACCTCTAATTTGTTCCTCCCCCGTATTTGCCACCTGGTGGCCGACCTCCACCGTCGCTGCTTCCACTGGAATAGGAACTACCGCTCACCACCGGTTTTGAGCCTCCACTGTTATTCTTCGGAATATCATCGTGGAAAACACAGGTTTGTCGAAAACTTCTTCCTCTACTGAGAGCCCTCAGTACTTCTTCAAACTTCTGGTCCATCTTCATCTGCATTGAAGCTATGGAGTCGGCTTGTTGCTGAATCTGGTGACCTTCATTCTCCATTCTGTCGTTCAAATGCCCTAACTCGGCCTCCAAATATTCAACCCTCTTGAGTTGAGTTCCTCCCACTTCTTTTCCACCAGCCATGATCCCAGATGATTGCTTGCTCTGATACCAATTTGTTATGGACTATAAGATCAACAAGAAGTGCACTACACACACAAAGAATGAATAGCCATAGGGTTGAATGATTGATTAAGAAAAAGGTAGTTGTTCGAGATACTACCATCTCCCAAGAGCAATTCTAGTCTTTTTCTGCCTCTACCATCGACTAACCTACTATATAAATATAAATGAGCATAAACATTAATTCCCAAATTATCCTTCTACTATTCTCTTGGCTGATATCATTAATGGAATCCTCTCCAATGGATGGTTGCTTCCTATGATCTTGTGGTCCCTTCTTATTTCTCTTGTGATAGGTGAATTGGAGTGGTGGGTGTGTAACAATGTCTCTTTTTTTTTCCGGTGAAATGACATCATAATTTTATGAAAGCATTTGCAAAAAAAAAAAAAATAAATAAAAAAAAAAATAAAAATAAAAATCAGTACGCACACTTGTTTTCAATAATGTATTAGTATATAATCGTCAAATTAGCTTTCCATACAAGCCAATGTTATTTTTAATTATTAAGTTTGGAAGTTTTATCTTTTTATCTTTTATTTATTTTTTGAAAGGCATTAAGTTTGGAAGTGAATGAATAATTATATCTATTCTAAAAAGAAAAGTCGGTGGCCCGACATTTCTTTTAATACTCCTCGTACTCTTTATTTCTATCATTTTTTTCCTTTTAGTTTATAAAAGAAGACTTTGTACTCTCTGATTTTCATAATTACATTTTTACCCCCTTCAACCTTAAAAACTTTTTAAATTGTCACTTTCACCTTTTTAATTTTCGAACCTTTCGTATTTACCCCGTAATATGTTATAAAATATCATTTTCACCACCTTAGCTTTGGATTTGAAAAAGTTTATACCCATATTACATGTAATCTGATTTTCTTATCTACTGGTTTTATCTAGGTTTTAACATAATCTTTTTACATTTTTGTGCTTATTTTTAAAAGCGTTTTTTTGGCATAGTTGTGACCTTTGACTTTTGTGTCTAATAACTTAAGTCCTCCGTAAAAGTGATGATAAAGTGTCTAAGAGTGTCTTATTAGCAACACCCTTTTCGATGCATTAGTTTTTATTTTATTATTTTTTTTTTTAGTTTTTTTAATTTTTTTTTTGCAAAAACCAATAGCAATGCACTTTTTTCTACAACAAAAAATAAATGTAATATTAGTACGAAAACAATAATCTATTTTAATACATGTAAACTACTATGTTTTCTACCAACACTAGAAATACATTTTCTTTCATCAAAAATGCTACTGGTTGTATCAAAAGATGCTTATACTCAAACGAAAGGTTTAAAGTAATTTATACAAAGTACTACCCATTTTGATCAAACTAATTTCTCAAATGATGATCTAATTAAAAAAATTAAAGGTTTAAAGTATAAACAAGTAAAATTAAATTTTGGTCTATATAAAAATTGAAGAACTATAAAATAATAACTAAAAAAAATAAGTATATGATCCTTCGTGGTACGCACACCAATGGTTTTTCTAATTTATATATTTTAATGTTCAATGTCAAATACAATGTGTACAAAATTACCGTTTTTAGAATGGTAGTTGTGTAACAGAGTATCTTCGTGCTACCATGACACCTAGTCACGAAGATCCGAGATCGAAACCTCTCCAAGGCTAATAACCACTTTCAGTTTGTGCACCCAGTTTCCCTTTGTGGGGTTTCATGCATTAATTAGGATCCGAACTTGGCTACCACTCTAGAAAAAATCTCCCACATGACCTACATCCATATGTGTATATAACTTGGTATCTTTGCCCCGTTGAACTGGGGGGTTATTAATTGGTATAATTTTAGTTTTTTTTTTTTTTTTTTTTTTTTTTTTAATTGATTTTTTTGGGAGTTCAATGTTAAAAAATCAGAGATATATCTACCGATGGAAACCTAATTTGTTTCATGGCAAGAAGAGGGTAATTTTAGAAAAATAAATATAAAATCATCACTTAATGTTAAAACATAAATATTCTAAGTTAAACACCTTGTTAACATTAACATTTTAATCATTATCCACATTAAATTAAAAAGAAACACCACCCAAATATGAAATATCTAATGGAAGCGTCCCACGCACACATACTAGGCCCTTTGTTCTTTGGTGCACCTTTTGCCCATCATTTAAGAAAACCATAATTGGATTTTTCATTTGATTTTGATATATAAGATTACTTTTGCTTATTACAAAAAGATGTAAGAGATACCGAACTACTAACGAACTATTTTGCATAAATGTATATATGTACACTAAGTTTTGTTATATAATCCATTTGCAGCCAAAAGATGGACAACATTGCAAGTAAACTTGAAGTAATTGCAGATGCTGCTGCCACGATTGTAGGAAGCTATCGAAGCAAACATTCTCGAAAGAAAATCAAGGAAAATGAAACAAGAATGACATTGTTCAAGCATAATAACTCGGCTCTTCAACCTCATACCCCACGATCTTCCCACACTCCACGTGCAGCTGCTGATGGAAAAACAGAATCATGTTCGTTTGCTTTAGGCCTTCATATCCCAACTGAGCAAGGTGAATTTTGCCTCTTAACCAGTGAAGGCCCATTGTCATTTAGAACTAGCCCCGACACTATTATCTTCACCTTTGGAGAACAACTACAGGTAAATTTTCAACTTTGTATACGTTTTTTCTTTTCTGTTTAGTTTTTGAAAGTGATTATTATAACTAAAAACCATCTTTTTTTACCATTGTTTTAACCTAAAAAACATAAGGATCATATGCTCGTTTTTCTATTTAATGACCTTAGTGTGCTTATGTGCATACCGATTTAGAATTTTAACCATAGCTTTTTGTAGTTATTTTAATATTTTATCAATTTATTATGTTTTCTAACCACGTAAGTTGATATGCACATTTACAATAGAAAATATAAGTTCATTTTATACAAGTAATCCCGAACATCCCCTAAATGATTTTCCGCAACAAAACTGAATTCAAGAAGCAAAATCTTATATACATGATTGTTATCGATCAAATTTTGATAATCTACACGCTTGTAAAATTGTGTAAAATAGAGTCTTTAACCTTTAGATTATATCAAGTAATAATAAGAAGATATAGGAGAATTATATATTATCTAATTGGACTAATTTTGAAATTCTAATGGTTATTTGATATTGATTAAAAGAAGGTATTTTAATCCACAACAAATTATTTAACTAAATGCTCTTTAATAAGGAAAGGAAAATAAAATAAGAAATATAATTAATAATAAAATAGAAATAAAGAAAACCTAAAATAAAAATTAAACCTCTATTCTAAAAATTGGGAACTGATTCGTACATAACATTTTTTTTCCATACACAACAATTTGTGCTTTAAAGTGTTGTATTGTACAACTCTATAATGACTAACATAAATATTACCAAAAATATCCTTAAATATTAGCCCAAGTATCTTTCCAAATTATAACTAACAAAGAAACCCATTAATGACCCACAATTGGCCTGGTGAAAAAGATCCTTTCGTATGTACAAGTGGTTTTAGCTATCACTGTGTTGGGGTCGATTTATCGAGGTTCCATTTGGTTGTTGTCATTGGTATTTCGTGCATTATCCTTCCAACTTCGAAAAAGAATCGACCTCGATTATTGTTTAGCTTCCTTCTTAATGTTACTATCCATCAATTAATCATTGTCTTTAATGACTTGAAGAGATTACCAAAGTTGTACATAAGGGCCTCAGTGATGTGTGTCTAATGGGTTGTATTTGTTGTATTGATCTTCTAAATGATTAGAATGGTAATTGATTCCCTTAGGAGTTGGCTCAGTCACCTCATTGCATTAGCCTTTTGGTATCCTAATAAATCCTCATAATTAGATCACATGTTGTTTTTATCTCAAAACTTAATGCATGATAACCCATTAGAGTAGCTTCATGTTCTTATACTTTGCATGATAACCCATTAGAGTAGCTTCATGTTCTTATACTTTGAAGAGTCCTTATCAGGCTGTGGGGAGGGAAGTGGTCACCATCAACCCACTGAAAAAGTAGCACCACCTCTACGCCACGTCAGTTTCATCACCAACCCACTAGATATAGGATTATCATCACTTCACATTTATGTTTTTTATGATTAAATTAAATAACAAACATAATTTAAATAAATATTAAAATATTTTATATTAATTGAAACCACATTAAATTAATTAAAAAACATAATTTATAACATAAATATATATATATATATATATATATATATATATATATATATATATATATATATATATATATAGGTGAGGGTTTAATTTAATTTAAAAATAAATATAAGGGTAAAATAAGATACATAAAAACATTTTCAGGGACCATATAAGTGACTTCAATAAAAGAGAAAATATATGAAAAGCGACTTTGATATTGTGTTTATTTGTGATTGGTTGTCTTGCTCCGTCTTACCATTCATCCCACATCCAACCACCCACCCTAGGGGTGGTGTTCACGCGTCTCCAAGGTGTACACCTCAGAATTCTACGCGTGAAAAAAACCACTCCAGATAGCCTAAAAGCCTTGTTGGCTTTGCTAAGCACCATGCATATCATCTCGCTATAGGGTGCATGTTAATGATGGCTCACTACCCGGATATATATATATATATATATATATATATATATATATATATATATATATATATATATATATATATATATATATATATATATATATATAAATCACTAAATACAAAGTATCATCTTTCAAAAATATGATTCTAATGATGTCATGTGAGATTTTTAAAATTCATTCACATTTAACACTTTTCAAACGTATAAATATTTATATTTATATTTTGAGTTTTAAAAGTCAAATCATTATCTTTTATATACTTAACCCCTTATAAATAAATATAATAATTTTGTTCTTTTTTATCTCAAATGTTGTTCACCTTGAGTTAAAAAAAAGTTCACATATTTTGAGCCATTAACTCCAAAGTTACAACTTA